TTTTTAGTTGGGGTTAGCACTTAATTTTTTTAAAAAATATCACTCAATGTCCTCCTTGTTTTCATCATATCCTCTTTCATATGATACTTTAATTGCTATTCTAACCCTTCATTTACAGTAGCTTTGAATTTATTCCTCCCTCCACCAATTAAGTTGAGAAACAGAAATAGTTCTAAGTGCCTTTAAAATGCTGTTAGGATATTTTTCTGATGTTTCCCTTTATTTGTGATGGAATACTTGGCAGTGATAAGACAGTTAAGGAGAAAATAGGCCCATAACAGAAGAACCTCTTGAGTTCATTAGGGGAGAGGGGGATGAAAAATAAATTGAGAATAGTTCTGCTTTATGTATATATGTTATGTGGGTGAATTACTTCTGTAGGCTTCACAATTCTGTTAGGTCATCTACCAGGAAAAAAAAGAACAGAATCCATGTAGTTTTTGTTTTTTAAGCTTGCCAGCCTCACAGTGGTTGACATTATTGGACTAAAGTATTTTTGAAGAAATAATGGGAAATATATATTGCTTGTTATTAGATAGATATAGATACAGATGATCCTTGACTTCTGACCACAACTGAGCCTAAAATTTGCATTGATAAGCAAGACAGTTAAGTAACATGCTTGTTAAGTGAATCTGGCTTCCCCATTGATGTTGCTTGTCGGAAAGTCGCAAAAGGTGATCCCGTGACCATGGAACATTGCAACCATCATCAATATATGCTAGTTGTGAATTTTGATCATATGATCATGGCGAAGCTGCAATGGTCATGTCATTTTTTCAGTGCTATTGTCACTTTAAACAGTCACTAATATCTCTTTTTGGAAACATACATATATACATACATACATACATACATACATACATACATACATACATACATATATATATATATATATATATATATATATATATATATATATATATATATACACTGCTCAAAAAATAAAGGGAACACTTAAACAACACAATGTAACTCCAAGTCAATCACGCTTCTGTGAAATCAAACTGTCCACTTAGGTAGCAACACTGATTGACAATCAATTTCACATGCTGTTGTGCAAATGGAATAGACAACAGGTGGAAAGCATAGGCAGTTAGCAAGACATCCCCAATAAAGGAGTGGTTCTGCAGTTGGTGACCACAGACCACTTCTCAGTTCCTATGCTTTCTGGCTGATGGTTTGGTCACTTTTGAATGCTGGCGGTGCTTTCACTCTAGTGGTAGCATGAGACGGAGTCTACAACCCACACAAGTGTCCCAGGTAGTCAGCTCATCCAGGATGGCACATCAATGCGAGCTGTGGCAAGAAGGTTTGCTGTGTCTGTCAGCGTAGTGTCCAGAGCATGGAGGCGCTACCAGGAGACAGGCCAGTACATCAGGAGACATGGAGGAGGCCGTAGGAGGGCAACAACCCAGCATCAAGACCGCTACCTCCGCCTTTGTGCAAGGAGGGACAGGAGGAGCACTGCCAGAGCCCTGCAGAATGACCTCCAGCAGGCCACAAATGTGCATGTGGCTGCTCAAATGGTCAGAAACAGACTCCATGAGGGTAGTATGAGGGCCCAACGTCCACAGGTGGGGTTGTGCTTACAGCCCAACACCATGCAGGACGTTTGGCATTTGCCAGAGAACACCAAGATTGGCAAATTCGCCACTGGCGCCCTGTGCTCTTCACAGATGAAAGCAGGTTCACACTGAGCACGTGTGACAGACATGACAGGGTCTGGAGACGCCATGGAGAACGTTCTGCTGCCTGCAACATCCTCCAGCATGACCGATTTGGCAGTGGGTCAGTAATGGTGTGGGGTGGCATTTCTTTAGGGGGCCGCACAGCCCTCCATGTGCTCGCCAGGGGTAGCCTGACTGCCATTAGGTACCGAGATGAGATCCTCAGACCCCTTGTGAGACCATATGCTGGTGCGGTTGGCCCTGGGTTCCTCCTAATGCAAGACAATGCTAGACCTCATGTGGTTGGAGTGTGTCAGCAGTTCCTGCAAGACGAAGGCATTGATGCTACAGACTGGCCCACCCGTTCCCCAGACCTGAATCCAATTGAGCACATCTGGAACATCATGTCTCGCTCCATCCACCAACGCCACATTGCACCACAGACTGTCCAAGAGTTGGAGGATGCTTTAGTCCAGGTGTGGGAGGAGATCCCTCAGGAGACCATCCGCCACCACATCAGGAGCATGCCCAGGCGTTATAGGGAGGTCATACAGGCACGTGGAGGCCACACACACTACTGAGCCTCATTTTGACTTGTTTTAAAGACATTACATCAAAGTTGGATCAGCCTGTAGTTTTTTTTTCCAATTTAATTTTGAGTGTAACTCCAAATCCAGACCTCCATGGGTTGCTAAATTTGATTTCCATTGATAATTTTTGTGTGATTTTGTTGTCAGCACATTCAACTATGTAATGAACAAAGTATTTAATAAGAATATTTCATTCATTCAGATCTAGGATGTCTTATTTTTGTGTTCCCTTTATTTTTTTGAGCAGTGTATTTCAGAAATATACTATATTAAGTCACTCTGAATTTTATTTTGTATTTTATTTTCTTGTGGTATGCAAGCAAGCAGAAGCATAAAGGAGTATAAAACTAACAGAGCAATATAAAAACTATAGCATGTTCTACTACAATTGCATTTGGAAAACTATTAACATCTTAGATCAAGCCAAATCTAAAAGATGCTAGAGAATTCCCAAAAGTTTAGCATTCAGACAAATCAACCATTAATAGCCATACAGAGATAAGCTACATTTATGCACTATTCACATCACAGGGGGTGGGTGTTTGATGGCTCAAAGGTTAAAGACTGGGTTTTGAGACCCGAGTGCCATGCAACGGGGTAAGCTCCTGTTACCTACCCCAGCTCCTGCTCACTTAGCAGTTCAAAAGCATACAAATGCGGGTAGATAAATAGGTACCACTTTGGTGGGAAGATAATAGCATTTTGTGCACCTTTGTTTTATAGTCATGCTAGCCAGATGGCCAGGGAAATGTCTTTGACAACACTGGTTCCTTCAGTTAAGAAATGGGGATGAGCACAGCCCCCAAAATCGGACATAACTGGACAGGGGAAATCTTTACCTTCACACACTATTCAAAAGAGTCAATAAAAAAAATCTAGGAAGGAAACAAAAAGACTAGTACATATCTCCTCCAGCAGTTAACATTCAGATAAGCAGAGATCAGCACCAGACAAGCAATCAAACAGAAAACAAAAATATAAGAACCACTATGGAGGAAACTACATCCCCACCAAAACTGGCAAGGCAGGTTAATTCATATAAATAGGCAGCAAACTCCACAGTCATTGCAATGGGTAAGGAAGGAGAAAATCTTTTTGAACAAGAGAACCTCAATATTATAGCTTGATTCTACGACTCAGACCTTAATTATAAATTAACTAGTCTTGTCTCTTTTCCAACCAAACAGCACAATTGTAGACATGTGGTTAGTGACCACTTTGCTTAGTAGCAGATTTGCCAGTCCCAATTAGGGTTATTAAGTGAAGACTACCAGTTTGTTAAAACAGGTTTTCATTACATATTTTCATGTGTGGATATTTTGATGCATATCTACAATATGATTTATTTTTCTGATTTAAAAAATGTATACCACTCTGTCAGATATGCACTTAATCTTTTACTCCACTGCTCCCATTCTTTCTCTCATTCACACACTCTCTCATAGTTTTCTTAATTCAAATGTGATGAAGAATTAGAAACCACTGATAAGAGACCAACAGGGCTAATAAACACCAGTCCTTGCACTGGATTTACCAATTTTACACAGCCTTGATGAATGGGGCAGTGGCTGTTTGAGATGTAAATAAAGTGCAAGTGGCCTTCTTGGATTATATTATTCTCCTGAAGAAAATACACTAAAAGTTCTAGGCAAGTTGCTGTAGTATTCTGTAGGTTAACTTATATCATCTGTTATAGTATTAAATTATCTGAAGCTTTATGAGTTGCAATAAACATGGTAACTGATACCTCTAAAGACTGAGAAACCAAATATTTTAAGTTGGTATGGTTATTGCCAGAGGAAAAATGCAGGAACAGACTTGTTATTAATCCTTACAAAATTGAATGGCTACATTTTTTGGCTTTTGGGTGCAATTCAAGATAGTAGATACTACCTTTGAAGCCCTTAAAGGTATAGGGCCTGGCTATATGAGGAATCACTTGATTTCTGTAGTCTCTGCCCAGTAGCTTAGCAAGCTCTTCATGTCCTATCAGTTAAATGACACAAACTGTCATTTTGTGGAATTCTGAATGTGCACCAACACTATTACAGTTCCTGTCCTATGAAATGACAGCCCTCTCCCCCACTGATCTGTGTGCCTCCCCCTCCCCACTTATGTTGTTCAGGGAAATTATTCAAAACCTTGTTCTCTCAGATGTTGGAGACAAAATGATTGTACCAATTTTACCCTTTTATGCCTTTGCCCATTTGTTTTGTTTTGTTTTTTGTTTTGGATACTTTGTTCTTCCAGTCTGTTGTATCTTTTATATGTTTTTTTGGTATACATTGGTTCTTAGTTGCAGGCCCTTCAGAGTCATTTGGGAATCAGATGGCCAGATAAAAAGATAAAAAAGATGGGCAGATAAAAAGATAAATTGTCAGTTTTCTGCTTAGGTGGTTCATAGGATTTGCATCATAGAGAAATCTCAGTCTTGACTTCTAGCCAGTCTCTGTCCCAGACCTGATCTGTGGAGAATGTTTTTTTTTGTTTATTTGCTTTCTGGTTCAAGTACATACATTGGCTTAAATGTGCTTGCTCAATTTAGGTGTAATAGACTTAGGAAACAATACCACATTCCATTTTAACATAGTTAATTTTGCTGCCCATATTTTAATTAGAAAATAATCAATCTTGTGCATTAATATATTGTTGTGTTATTCTGAACTACACCAGCTTCTCATATTGTATTATTTTGAAAAAATTTATAAGAAAATATCTTTTTATATATTCATATATGCAGGTAATATATGCTTTGAACACAAAAAATGATGAACATGAAGCTGCTATGCAGGCTCTCAAGGATGCCCATGAAGAAGAAATTCAACAGATTCTTGCAGAAACCAGAGAAAAGATTTTGCAATATAAGAGTAAAGTTTCTGAAGAAATGGATCTAAAAAGAAAAATCCAGGTTTTAGAAGAGTCTTTAGAAGATCACAAAAAGATGAAGCATCAAGCTTTAACTGAATTTGAGGCTTATAAGGACAGAGTTGAGGATATGCAACTCTGTGCAGAAGCTCAGCATGTCCAACGTGTTGTAACTATGTCACGTGAAGTAGAAGAAATTAGAAAGAAATTTGAGGAAAGATTACGAAGTTTTATACAACTGCAGTTACAGTTTGAGAAGGATAAACGTTCAGCTCTCGAAGAGCTGAAAGCTGCACATAGACTTGAGATCCAAGACCTTATGAAGACACATCAAAATCAAAATGTTACTTTAAGCAAAGGTCAGGAAAAATTGGAAGAATTGCACAGGCAGGATGTGGAACAGTTTAATGTTAAAATAGAAGAGCTAAGAATAGAAAGAAAAAAGCTTATTGAGGACTATGAAGGTAAACTCAGCAAAGCTCAATCTTTCTATGAACATGAACTTGATACTATGAAAAGATCACAATTGTTTACAGCTGAAAACCTGAAATCTTGCAAAGAAAAGGAAGTAGAGCTAAGAAAGGAATTTCAGAGTCAGGAATCAGTTATACGAAAAAATCTGGGGAAGCTTAAAACTGAGTTGCAAATGGCTCAGGATGAAGCAGGGGCTCTTCGAGAAAAATGCCAGAAGCTTCAAGTGGCTCTAAGTACCTCAGAAAACAGTGCACAGGTGAGATACTTATTGTTATGCTGTTTCTTTAACAATAAATAAATACATTTGTTAGATTGATGTTGATGAAGTTTCATGTTACTCAGTTGGGTGTAAAATCAGATTAGTTTACCTGCAATAGCTTAACAGACCAACTAATTTCTTCCCATTTTATTTAGAGTTGTGTCAAAGTTTGCTTTTATATATGAAACTTCAGTAGCTTTTCTTCTAATAGTGAAGGCCAAAGGCAACTGAAATAGGGTTCTGCAAAATTAATGGTTTAGATTTTTAGAGGTCATTGCAGAAGCAATTTTGGTTCTAATATCCTTTCCCTTCCCTGCAGGAGCCAATAAACATTCTGTTCTGTTTTATAACATCTACTGAGCTAAAGGAGTGGCTTAAGAGGCCACAGTAGAAGAAAGCAAGTAGGGAAAGTCTTGTTTCTCTAATCTAAGTGAAAGAGTAGATTTTCCTTCATTACATCTGGAACTTGTAATTATTATTGTTTATTGCATGTACTGTACATTCCACCTTTTCCTTTTTGTGTGAAAGTCTTCTTACTTGGGCATCTTCTCTGATGGAAGTTGAAATGTTAGTGTATGTATATGCACATGTGTACAGATCAAAATATTTTTATTTGTTTAAAATTAAGGTTTTATTGTCCATACCTTTTCCTAATTTTTCTTGGAATAAATATTTTTATGGAAATAATAATAGCACATTGAAGACTGGAACTGAAATACAATGCTATAAATGTCACTTGATTAAAAATGCTTACCAAATAAAAACACTAAATACTGAATTGGATAAAAGTTATAATATGAATGTGTTGTGTCTATGGAATGGCTGTGAATTTTCTAAAGGTGTAAAGTTTGCATCTGTACCTGACAATTAGAAGAAGCCTGTTTATAGTTCACTAATACAAAGGAAAACAGCAAGAATAAATGAAAAGCCATAATGGGGTTATTTTATTAAGGCTGACTGGAATGGTGCTTGGAAGAATTATGATTGAAAGTTACAATATGTGACAATGAATAAAAGATGTGAAGTACACTGTATAGGATATGTAGAGTAATGTAACATGTAGGCAATGTATGTAGGCTATATTTTTGCTCTTTAGAAAGATACTAAGAAATGCATGAATATGAGAAAGTTTTGTACATTTGTTGATTTAAAGAAAGCATATGATGCAGTGAATAGGCTTGAACTATGGAAATTTTACATGAATACAGAATCAACCATTGATTGCTGAATGTACTAAAAATATCAGGCATAAAAATAATACTTTGCAAATGGTTCAGTACTAGCCAACAAAGTAAGACAAGGATGTGTAGTGCCTTTTGTTTATTTAATGGATTTGTGGATAAATATATAATGAATTTTTGTGGTAAGATGTGTTAGCTGCGTAAATGTGTATTTGTATTTTGGTATGCAGATTGTTGAAATCTAAAAAGCTAGATAGATTTTTAATGCAATAAATAGCATGCATTTAAAAATCAGTATATAAAAGACCAGGGATATTATATTTAATAGGACAAAAGAAGCTATAGTGAATTATATATAAATGATAAAATATATCAAGTAGATAAATATATCTAATTGGATAGAATATTTAATAAAAATTGGGAAATTTTACATGCAAATGCTAGGTGAAACAATGGGTAGTATTTTTTCTCTTCTGAAAAGAATAGATATTAATGTTGAAAGAAGTGAAAATGACTGCATGTAATAGTATGCAAACACCCACGTTGTTATATAGTAAAAAGAGCTAAGTGTGTCCGGAAAAGTATAAAAATAATTTGGATGCAGTAAAAATAGACATTGAATTGCCAAAAGTCAGTCCTGCTGTGTTTGAATATGGGTCTCCCTAGTATCAAGCACAATCCCACAATCCCACTGGCTAATGTGGATAGAGTGACTGAATTAGAAATAGAAGAAAACTGAAAAAGTCATGACTGGATGGAGTTGATGAAATTCTGAAAGAAAGGTAAGAAGTTTAAAAAACAAAACCCACTATTAGTGTAAAATCAAGGTAAAAGCAAGAATAGTTTGCAAGGAAAGAAAGTTATGGAGTAGTATAATAAAGGCATATACTAGTTTTAACTATATTTGCTCTCCTTTTTCTTATTTCATACCTTCAATTTCTTTGGTTTATACTATGCTTATGTTGCATACCTTGAAAAGGAATAACATGTATGCATCTACAAATGGCAGCAAAGGGGAGGAATAATTTGTTCTATCTGTATTAACTATTTTGTATGAATAAGTTTGAATATCACTTTTTATTCTTTTCCTATTTCTAAATTTAAAATTTCCATTTTTTAGAGATTCATGTTGTTTTTTTTACATTACTTGCTGCAACTTCTTAAAGCCTTTTCCCCCAAGAATCATATGGCTGTTTTCTGTAGCTGCGGGATAATCCTGGAAAATGATGCATTTCATTTAAGAGTTGCAGACAGATCTAAATGAGGACCAGGCATATTCCAAGATACCTTTTTGCCTTCAAATCCAAAGGCCTATGCTGCCCTATTTATAGAGTTATATCACTAAATGCATTTCTATCTCCTGCATTTCAATTACTCATATTTCTTCATAACATTTTAAGAATCTAAATTCTTTTAATTTACTGAATAATTTTAGCCTGTCATTCTCTGGCAGCCAACATGCTTACAGAATAAAATCTCCTATATATTGCCATGAGATATAGTAGAATGTAGTCCGGAGTCACAGGAGGGAAGAGCTCTTTCCCAGAGCGCAAAGAGACAGCAGAGTTTGGAATGTCTGTAGGCAGGAAGAAAGCAAGGTCAGTGTTATGAACTAAGTAAATGCATTTAATAAAGCTTGACAACCTTACTAGAAAAGCAGGCTCGTAATCCTGCATTTCTGATTGGCCCATAAATAGCGAATCATGATTGGTCTCTTCTGGCCAATCTGATTGGCTAATAGCGGGTCGTCTCCCATTGGGCACAGTTTAAACGCTCCAACGCAATTCATTGGTTAATGCGACAGCAGCCATCTCTATAAAAGAGCTGCTGCTGCCCAAGGTTTTTGCTCTGTTCCTGATCGTTAATAAAGAATTGAAGTTCACCGTTCACTGCCTTGTCTCCGTTCCTCGCGCCCATGCCCAGAACATAACACTGGCGATGAAGGTGGGATGCGGAGACATCAGAGCTGACCGAACACTTACAGAGCACCAAACAGAGCACGTGGCTGAAGGCGCATCTACAACGGCAACATGGCCAGCGGCGCCATACCACCCGCTCCATTTGACCCGGCACATGAAGACTGGGCCTCGTATATGGACCGGTTCCAGATGTTCCTGGAGACCAACAATTTAAAGGACGCTACGACTGGCAAGAAGCGAGCAGTGTTTCTAACCCATTGTGGGCCTGCCGTTTTTAAGATGGCGAAAGCACTTGCAAAACCGGCTGAGGTGAAATCAATGGATTGGGACACCCTCGCGCCCATTCTACGGGCCCACTATGCACCCGCAGTGCCAACACTTGTCCGAAGACACGAGTTTTACCAGAGGGACCAACGGAAAGGCGAGAGTGTTGCAGATTTCATCGCTGACCTCCGGAACCTGGGTGGCCTCTGTGGGTTTTCGAACCTCGAAGAAGCCATGCGAGACCGCATAGTTCTGAGATTAGATGACTACACGGCGCAGAGCAAGATCATGGCCAAAGGGGACATCAATCTTGCAGATGCCATCGCAGACGCTACTGCAGCAAAAGCAACCAGGAAGTCGGCCGCTCGAATGCGCTGCACCAACGCACCGCTCCATCAACTCGCAAATGATACCTTGCCTCGTCCAGAGAGGCACTCAACAACGGCACACCATGAGGACCTCGAATCCCCATCAGATAGTGAAGAGGAAGAGGTCAACTGGCTCCGGTCCGAACGCGACCAACGAGAACAACGGAACCAAAGATTCCCGCGCCAATGCGCTGGTTGCGGGGCAAACCACCCGCGATCAGATTGCAAATTCCTCGACACGCTCTGCCGTTCCTGTGGAAAGAGAGGCCACATCGCAAAGGTCTGTAGAAGCAAGCGAGGATCCAGTCTGATTAGGAGGGAGAATAACTACCGCCAGACCACAGGAAATCTTCCAGTGAGTCGGGATCGCCTGAACCACCAATGGAACAACCACTCCTACAGAAATAAAGCACCTGCCACTTCAACGAGACGAGAAGAGGCACACCAAACCATTACCATCGGCCACGCTTCATCCTTAGATGCAAGAAAGATCCGAGCGAGGGTCGCCATCGAGAACCAACCTTGCGTGATGGAAGTCGACTCAGGGTCATCTCTCTCGATGGTTTCCTGGAAGACCCTCAAACAGCTAATCCCTGCCATCCGTCGTCAGAACCTCAGCGCCCAAAAATTATACACAAAGATTACCAGGGAAACAGAATCCCAGTCGTCGGTATCAGCCAAGTCCAAGTATCATTCAAAAATCGTACCGCATCACTACTGCTGACCGTCGTCGATCGTGACCGACCTAGTTTATTAGGCCTTCAATGGTTCGCCCCACTCGGGATCGAAGTAGCCGGCATTCACCAAGCCGAAAGTGACGACTGGGAGGAGGCCCTCGTCCAAGAATTCCAGGACGTTTTTACAGGGAAGCTAGGCAAGTACAAGGGGACCCTGATATCGTTTAACCTCAACCCTGAAGTAGCCCCCATTCGCCTTAAGCCTTGTCGGGTGCCTTTCGCACTCAAGCCAAAGATCGACGAGCACCTCGATAAATTAATAGCTCAGGGTGTTTTAGAACCTATTGACCACGCCCGTTGGGAAACCCCAATAGTAACACCCATCAAACCGGATGGATCGTTAAGAATTTGTGGGGATTACCGGGCCACCCTGAACCACGCACTTCAACAGAGCGCTTACCCGGTGCCGGTGGTTCAACACCTTCTCCACTCCCTGGGCGGCGGGAAAATATTTGCAAAACTGGATTTAGCGCAGGCGTATCAACAATTACCCGTAGATGCGAAAACCGTGGAAGCACAAACTATCAT